AGACTTCTTTGGGATCTATTCTGGATCCCTTGCACTTCCATATGAACTTCAGGATCAGCTTATTGATTTCTGCAAAAAAAGGCAGCTGGGATTTTAATAGAAATTGCAATGAATCTGTAGATTAGTTTGGGAAGAATTGCTATCTTAACATATTAAGCCTATGGTCAATAAATACAGGATATTTTTCCATTTATTTATCTTTAATTTCTTTCAATAAGTATTTGTATTCAGTGTACACATCTTACACTTCTTTTGTTAAATTTATTCTCAAGTTTATAATATTTTCATGTTATTGTAAATGGAATTCTTTTACATTTCATTATTGGATTGTTCAGTGCTAACGAATAGAAATACAATTGATTTTTATGTATTGATATTGTATCCTGCAACCTTACTAAACTTTTTTATTAGATCTAACAGGTTTGTTTTGTTTTTGTTTTTGTAGATTCTTTAGGATTTTCTATATACAAAATCATGTCATTTCTGAATGGGTATACCTTTACTATTTTTCTTTCCAATTCAGATGGCTTTTATTTCTTTTTCTTGCCTGAGTGCTCAGGCTACAATCTCTAATATAGTACATGTCGAAATCAAGTAGAAAGAGCAGAAATCCTTGTCTTGTTTCTGATTCTAGGGGGAATGTTTCAATATGATGTTAGTTGTGGGGTTTTAGATAACCTTTATCAGGTTGAACAAGTTCCTCTGTATCCCTAGTTTGTTGAGTATTATCATCATGATAGGGTATTGAATTTTATCAAATGTTTTTTCTGCATCTATTAAGATGATCATATGGGTTTTGTCCTTTATTTTATTGATATGGTGTGTTCTATTCATTGACTTTCATATGTTGAACCAACTTGGCCTCCCTGGGATAAATCTCACATGATTACAGTGTTTAATACCTTTCATTTATTGCTGGATTCAACTTGCTAGCATTTTGTTAAGGATTTTTGTGTCTATGTTCATGAGATATTTGTGGCTGTCTTCTGATGTCTCTATAGGGTTTGGTGTCAAGGTAATACTGGCCTCATAGAATGTCCTGGAAAGTGTTCCCTCCTTTTTTTATTTTTTGAAAGATTTTATCAAAGATTGATGTTAATTCTTCTTGAAATGTGATGGAATTCACCAGTGAGGTAATTTGGGCCTGGGTTTTTCTTTGCAGAAGTTCTAAAATTACTAATTCAGTATCTTTATTTGTTGCACATCTACTTAGATTTTCTATTTCTTCTGCATCTGTGTCTTTCTAGGAACTTGTCCATTTCATCTAAGTTATCTAATTTGTTGCCATATAATTTTTTGTAGTATTCCTTATAATCATTTTTATTCTCTAATGTAATTTCTGTAATATTTTTGTAATTTGATCTTCTCACTTTTTTATTGGTAAGTCTAGCTAAAGTTTTGCCAATTTTATTGATCTTTCAACAAAAGAGGTTTTGTTGATTTTCTTTATTGTTTTTCTGGACTCTAGTTTATTTATTTGCTCTAATACTTATTATTTCCCTTCTTGATTTAGGTTTAGATCATTCCTCTTTTTCTACCTTCTTTAGGTGGAAGGATAGGTTATTGATTTGAGATATTTCTTCTTTTTAATATAGGCACTTACAGCTATTCCCCCTAATGTTGCTCCATCTCATAAAGTTTCCCTTTTCCCCTCTTGCAGCTAAGGCAGTCTTGATCATTTGGACATTCCCACCAGGACGTTGAGTCTTGAACAAATAGTGTAAAAACAAAACAAAACAAAAACAAACAGGGGACAGAGTAGAATTCACTTAAGATGGCAGCATGCAATGGTGATGTAGTGGTTCCAGCTGTGGTATACTTAACTAGACCATTCCTCTGTTGTGACTTTGGTTGAGATTCCTGGTTCTATTTTCTGAGTTTAATTAGCTGGCCTTCCTATCAAACTGAGGATTACTTGATGACCTTCCAATATATTTATTTCCTCCTTAAGTTGGTAGAGTTGGTTTCTGTTGCTTGAAACTAAGAATCTTGGCATACCATTTAGGTAAGGGTTGGGGAGAAGGAGAAAACAGAGGTCTTTCATTTTTCTCTTTGTCAAACTTTCTTTGTAAATCTCTGTGTTGCTAGTATTGTTGTATTACTTCTGTCATTTAAGGGGAGCCTGGGTGGCTCAGTCGGTTAAGCATCTGACTCTTGGTTTCCTCTCAGGTCATGATCTTATGGTTGTGAGATCCAGCCACATGTTGCACTCTATACTGACAATGTGGAGCTTGCTTGGGATTCTCTCTCAACCTTTCTTTCTGCCCCTTCCCTGCTTGTTCTCTCTCTTTCTCTCTCAAAATACATAAATAAACATTTTTTAAAATATATGCTTTTGGGGTGCCTGGGTGGCTCAGTTGGTTGAGCATCCAACTTCGGCTTGGGTCTTGATCTCATGGGTCTTGAGTTCGAGCCCCACATGGGGCTCTCTGTTTTCAGTACATAGCCCACTTTCGATCCTCTGTGTCTGTCTGTCTGTCTCTCTGCCGCCCCCCCCTCAAAAATAAATAAAAACATTTAAAATATATATGTTTTTAAAATTGATAATCTAAAGCACAGTTGGATGAAGAGAAGTGGTGGGATATACAATTTGAAAATTAGGATAAGACCAGATTATACAAGGCCTTGAATGCCATTTTGAGGATTCTGAAGTTAGCTCAGTAAGTATTGGGAATTTACAAAGTGGAACAATGATGACATGATCAGATCTATGTTTGCTTTTTTAAATTATTATTATTTTTTATTTCCATGTAGATGAATTAGAACTCAGAGAAATTAGAAACCAGGAGAATAGTTAGGAGGAGGCTACTGCTATGGTCCAGATATAAGATTGAGAAAATTTCTCAATCTGGAGAGAGAAAAAGAAAGGAAGATTGTCAGTCACAGTTTGGATTTTCTGGAAGCAGATGCTGAGATAGTTTGAGGTGGAAGATATTAACTAGGGAAAGGAAGGGGGATTGAATAGAAGGAGAAGTCAAACTTCAGTGTAGATCTGACAGATACCCAGCCAACCTGGCAAGGAGCTCTGGAGTGAATACTGTTTATCAGAATTGCCCTGCAGTAGGTGGGACTGGCTGAGCCTTTATACCCCTGCTTTGCTCAGTCACCAGATAAGGATAGCCCCAAGAGGAACATGACCTCATGCAGGACTGTTCTCTACAGGTAAGGCAGACACTGAAGGAACTGAAGCAGCTCGTGGCTATCTGCTGCCTAAGTGCCCTGTAGCTAAACACCCAGTAGAACTGGGCGGCACACCTCATACCTACCGCAGAGAAAGAGCTGAATTACCATATCTTACAAAAAAAGCAAGAGAGTGGAAAAGAAGGATTTGATTCTACACATACTATATTTTGTAGGTGGGGGATGAAGAAGGAGTAAATAAAGGTCAGCACTTAGGTTTCTACACTGATGTGGTTTGATAGTAATTCTGTTTAACTGATAGCAAACAACAAAGGAGAGAGAACAGGTTTGGGGAGAAAGATAAGGAATTTGACTTAGAACATGTTGACTCAGAAATGTCTGCAAAATATTAAGGTGGAGATGATTTTCAAAAATCAATGCAAATGTGGGGTCTGGAGGTCAGCAGCAAGTGCTATATTTATTGGGTGTACATATATATATTTATATAATACTCATAATGCCTCTATGAGGTAGGTGTTATTTTTATTATACCCTTTTTGTACATTTTATTATACCTTTCTTTATGAAGAAACTGAGACTTCAAGGAGTTAAATGCCCGGCTTAAAGAAGTAAAACTCAAATCTGTTTGATGGCAAAACACCTGCTTCCAAAGACAAGATTATATTGTTTCCCCATGGAAAAGACCACAGATAGATGACATATGAATACATCCACAAAGGGTACAGTTTAAATGGGACCAAAAAACCAAAACATGGAAGTCTAAAAAAGCCATGATTTCAAGGTGAGTTGAGTAAGATGACAAAGGCAATGGGATTGACTGAGTGGCGAGAACAGTTTCTAAAAATTAGAAGTATGGAATCTCAGGGGTTAGGGTAAAAAGAGAATTCTAGTCCACAAAGGAAAATGTTGCAGATATCATGTGGAATGGAGATTTCACAATTAGAGGTCATTGATGATCTTAGAGCAGTTTATAGGGAAGTCAGACTGCAGTGATTTAGGAGTGGGAAAGGAGGGAGTAGAAGCAAAAGGTATAGTCTACGGGATCCCTGGGTGGCTCCGTCGGTTAAGCGTCCGACTTCAGTTCGGGTCATGATCTCACAGTCCGTGGGTTCAAGCCCCACATCGGGATCTGTGCTGACAGCTCAGAGCCTGGAGCCTGCTTCAGATTCTGTGTCTCCCTCTCTCTCTGTCCCCTCCCCTGCTCACACTCTGTCTCTCCCTCTCAAAATAAAATAAAGACAAAAGATATAGTCTACTTTTCCAGAAATTTTGTAGAGGAAAAAATAATGCCATCTACATAAGTAAGGAATTTTTTAAGAATATTATTAATTAACTAATGGCTCTTTGCTCCCATATTTTAGTTTATACTCCCACCATTTCTCTGATTATTTCTTTCTACCTCTACTATATCAGCATCCTTTCCCAAATCTGATGTGCCTGGGAGCATCGAGTGGTGTTTATTCTGGTTGATGGACTTCTTGTATTTGTTAGGTGTTTTGAATGCCTTGGGTGATTCTGTCTTTGGAGGACGTGCCATAGACACCCTCTACCCCCACCCAACTCCGTCATCTGTTTTCCACAAAGATAGATAAGCATTCACTTCTCAGACCAATTCAGGAAAGCATGCAAGTTCTTAGGTGCTTAGCAAACCAAGAACTCTGTCTACTTAGCTTCCTCCTTCCCTTTCCCTCCCCCAAACTCTTGGTGGGCAGATCAGGGAGAAGAAAGGAGCTGCCACTCCAAACCTTCTGGGATATAATGTCCCAGATGGGGAATCTGTGTGGTTTTGCAGTGAGCTGAGATCTTCCCTCATCAGCCCTCATCAGTCCAGCCCTTTTTCAGAGGGGTCTGGAGAGCAATCAACACCGCCGTCCACCTGTGTACAGGAAGATGCCTACAGCCACACCAGCAATGATGAAACTGCCCACCAGGACACCCAGGACCAGCGAGGTGTAGGAGCGGCCTGTTTGGCTCCCTGCAGAACATGCACAGAATTAGCCTGAAGAACATACCTCCAAGAAGTCCATGGTTTAAATCAAACACTAAGGGATTTCTACCCCAAAGGAAGGGGGCTACTTCACCAAGTGACATAAGCTGTGTATACTCTGTCCCAACCCCCCAGCCCTGAGACTTCCGTTGCTCAAGGTATGCATCCTTCAGGTCTACCCATTTGCCTGGAACCCACCCAACAGCACACAGGCCCATCCCCGATCCCATCATACCTTTCGAGTTGTTCACAGTGATGTGTTCTTGCACATACTGCACACAGGTGTCCTGCAGGAATTCTCGCAGTTCGTACCGAGTACGATTGTAGGCGTTGAGCTGCTGCAGGGTGTAGGTGACCACCCTGGAGGGTGCCTGGGGCGCTGCCACCCATAAAGCTGTCTCTGGCTGGAAATGCACAAAGGAGCTCCCATTCACAGACACTTCGAAGAAGACACGTGCTGTAGAACCCTCAGGAGGCAGCTCACAGCCCAGGAAGCAGCGAATGATCAGAGGAACTGTGGATGAGGGAGGGTGAGAGGGCTGTATGGAGAGGATGCCAGCTGTGGGAGAATGTCCACTGGGGGAACATGAACTTTTGGGGTTTCGGGTGGATCAAGGACAGGGCATCCCAACAGGGTCAGCCCCGAGGTGATGCCAGCAAAAAGAGGGCCTGACGGAGGGCCCGCAACTAGGACACCCAGTCCTCTTCAGGCTCAAGCTCCCAACCAGCAATCAGCAAAGGCAGGTGCCCTGGTACCACTGGGCTGCTCAGAGCAGCCGGCTCACACAAGACCAAGCCACCCACAACACCCCTCCAAGAACGCCTTCCCTCCATGAGGCTCCGCCCCGTTCCCCCACAGGCCCACCCCATCAAATCCCGCCCACAGGCCGCGCCTCCCGCCTGGACGCGCCACCGCCGCCGCCGCACGTAGGGGCGCGCGCACCACGCACAGGTCAAGCGCCGCTCATGGTGTACCAGCAGTACCAAGCTGTTGAACTGGTGCAGATAGGTCTTAAGGCTGTCTTCTGTGTGCATCCAGCTCTCAGGCTCCTGCAAGGGCTGCAACTGGCGGATCGTGACGTTGCTGCCTAGGCCTTCCAGCACGTGCGTCGTTAGCCCCCCCAGCGACGCGTTGCCCTGGTGCCACACTTGATAGGGGTCGCGAAAGTAGGAGATCTGGAGCATGTGGAGGGTCCGAAGGCCTGCTGGGCAGTGTCAGCGCGTCAGGCCTTGGCCGGCGTGGCGGGGCTTGGCGTGTAGCTGGAGGTAATAACCCCCTACCTAAAGGCCGGCCGCCCACCTTCTCGGCCGTTCATAAACTACAAAGTGTTCTCCCACTCTTCCTCCCATAACCCTGTCAGGAGGGCAGGAAAGGGATTATTAACTTCGTTTTACAGATAAGGAAACTGAGGCTGGAAAGAGCAGAAGCCACTTGCCTCAGGGTAATCCAGTCAGTGGAAGAGCCACTCCCATCTTTCTGCCTCTCACCCTGTAACTACCCCCACTTCCAGTTGGTCAACAAATCCTGGCTTCCAGTAAAATCCTATTCCATCTCCTGTTCCCTGCCACTGCCCTACTTTACGCCTCATCGGTTCTCATCTGGACTCGGGTGGTAATGTCCTTCCTCTTCCCCGTCCCCTCATTTTTCAGTTTCACTCCTTCTAATCTGAACTCTCTCTGACCCAGAAATAAGATTATTCTCTCCTGCTTAAAATCCTCCAGTGACACACTCCCCTATCAAAATCATTAATAATAATAATAATAATAATAATAATAACAATAATAATGGCTATTATTGTTACTATGACCCAAGCACTGTACCTTACACATATTATCTTATTTGCGCCTTCCTCCCATTAGCTAAATGCAGTAGCTACTGTGATTAATCTCAGTCCATAAGAGACACAGCCTAAAATGGTGTAGCAGAACTAAGATTTGAGTGCAGGCGGTGTGATTCCAGCACTTTTAACCATCCAGCCACACTGCCTCCCCATAGGATATCTGTCCACAGAATGAAGTCCAAAGTCTTTAGCTTGGCATTCAAGGCTGCCAGAGACCAGGCCCCAACTGCCTTATTTAACCTCTTCTAGTACTTATATATAGTAAACTACTTGGAGTTTCTCATGCTGCCTTTTGGCTGACATGAATAGCATGTTGGGGTGTCTCTGCCTCTAGGCAAACTTCTATTCATGCTTCAAGACTCAGCTCTGTTGCTCTCTTGGAGAAGTTTTCCTGATGCCTCTCCTCTTTACCCTCCCGGACACAGCAGGTCTGTTTCAATGATCCCAGATTCCACGTAACTGTCTCCAAACACACAGACTCTACTGGGCTCCCTTAGGCTATAGAATCATGTCTGGTTATCTCTGTCTCCTACACCTATTAAGGCCCTGGTACAGGGTTGATGCCCAGAGAATGTGTGAGGGGGGAATGAGTCCGGGGTTATAAATTTCTGTGCGTGGATGTGTCTTGTCCACCTTTGCATTTGAAAAGTTGTGCTCTGTGTCTGTAGGTGTGAATAGGTATATCTATGTGAATAGCCCTAGATAAGGTTCCTAACTGCCCTGTGCCCAGTCTCCTCCCCTGTAAAAGAGAGATAATCATATTGCCTGCCTTGTAGAGATATTACGGGAGTCAGATGTGTCAGTGCACGTATTAACCATAGTGAGCGCTCCTTGAATACTGGTGATTTGCTCCCTCAGAGAGAGACCAAGGCTACAGAGACTGTGGGAAAGGGGAGGAGAGGCACCTGTGTGGTCACCATGCAGGGCAATAACACCTTTCTCTGCTTAAACAGCCACTTCAGGCAGCCTGACCCCCTGAGTTTTCCCAATGACCACAGCTTCTTCTTCCCCCGACTTTCCCCCAAGCTTCCATCCATCTTACACCTTCTCCAGTCTCCTCTTCTGCCTCACTTATCTCAGTCCCGGTCTCTCCAGTGGCTTCCCGTTCCTTCCATCTCTCACGTCTTCCTGTCTTCCTTGGTCTTACCCCGAACCACGATCACCCTCAGCTCTCCCCCTCCAGATTCACCCCCTCTCCCGGGGGCTAATTCCCTTACCCTTTCTACCCATCCCTTTCCATTTTTCCAGTTCTGTTTCACACCCCCTCCCCCCTCCCATCCCCCACTCTCCACCCCCTGCCTCCTCCATCTCCCCCTTCCCTGGGGACAGACTGTACTTCCTCACCTTGGCTTTGGGACACAAATCAGTCCCCAGCACCCTGCCTACCCTACAGAGAGATCTGGCTCACTGCAGGCACAGACGCTGTGGGATAAGGTCTCCTCTGGTTTCTCCCATGTACCCAGACAGGCTGAGAGTCTCCAGAACCATCCCGGGGCAGATGTGCCCCTGACTCACCATCTGAGGCTTCATGGCTACAGAAGGCCCAGCCGGGCAGGAGCAGTAGACACAGCAGTGGCAGCAATGTTGTCAACATCCTGGGGCTTAGGTTCTTACCCCACCTGGGCTCCTTCCTGGCTCTGGCAGGCAGAGGGCTCAAGCTGGCTGCAGCCTAGGGGGAAAAGAAGTAAGGACTGTCTGGAAGGAGAGGAGACTGCACAGAGGAGGCTGGAAGGTGGCCAGGGGATAGGAGGAGGATGAGAGCGTCAGGCTTATTAAGTGTTATTCCTACCCTGTCTCATTTCCTACTAGGGGGCTGGCCTCCCTCTTGCCCTTCCCCTGCCCCGCCCTGCATTGGGCCCTCTGGCCCAGACCTGCCTTTTCCCTTTTCCCTGGGCCTCTTCCAAACAGGGAGCGGAAAAAGGGGGAGTTGGGATCAGAGAGAAGTTCTGCCCTCGCTGAGTCAGGGGGTGGGGCTCTGCTTTCAATTTAGAGCAGACTCTGGGGTGTAGAGATCAACAGGTTACTGGTGGGGAAATTGAGGCCCACAGAGGTACAGGGACTTGCCCAACAGAAGTTTGTATATCACGGTAACAGATTGGGGGTTAGAATTTGATTTTCCAATGCGCTGGCTACATTTTATCAGAATTTTAAGTAAATAGTAATTACACAATCAGGAATCTTGCTCTCAGAAACACATGGTTACAAAATGAGTATAAAACAGCTCACTGCAGCTGTTCCTAACCAGAGAGATTTATGAACAATCTAATCTCATTAAAGGATTGGTCATTTAAAGCAATATTTTTCAAACTGAGGTCATAATTTACTAGTGGATAATGAAAACAATTTAGCAGTCATGATTAGCAGAGTTTTTTTTTCTTGTTGTTTTTGTTATTTTCATGAAATAGAACAAAATAAAAATTTTCAGTGCATCCTCCTGGGTCAGGGTAGACATTATTTTATGAAATATTTGTTTAGTTGTATATGTGTATCTTTCAGTTTTGTGTAGTATGTTTCTGTGATGGGTTTTGAATAGCAGTTTAAAATGTATTTCTTGGGGCACCTGTGTGGCTCAGCCAGGTAAGTGTCCGATTTTAGCTCACGTCATGATCTCGCAGTCTGTGAGTTCGAGCCCCGACTTGGGCTCTGTGCTGACAGCTCAGAGCCTGGAGCCTGCTTCAGATTCTGTGTCTCCAGCTCTCTCTGCCCCTCCCCTGCTCATACTCTCTCTCTCTCTCTCTCTCTCAAAAATAAATTTAAAAAACATTAACAATTTTTTTAATAAAAAAATAAATAAAATGTATTTCTTACTGTAAGAAGCAAGTAGAAAAATTTGGAAGTCACTCCCCCAAACTATGGTAATCCAAACTGTGGAATACTATGTAGTAGTTAAAAAAACCCTCCCCTGCCTAATCCCCTGTTTTCATATTACTTAGCGCTACCTGAAATTATATTACTTATTCATTTACATGTTTATTGTCTGAATGTCCCCCAAGAGGCTGTCCATCTTGTTTGCTACTGTGCCTGGAATGGTGCACATAATAAATAATATAATAAATAATAAATGTTAGCTAACAGATAACTGAATAAGATAGTTACGATATGCACAAATCTCCAAGAGTAAGTTGCAGAATATTAGGGACAGTTTAGAACCATTTCTGTGTCAGCCACACAGATGACATCTAAGCAGCCTATTTTTTTTATGGGAACAAATGAATCCAGAAGGATGTATATCAAATATAGCAGTGACTTATCTCCATTGTTTAATTATCAGGGAGGAGCCTAAGGTTAAAAGCATATGTGTGTTTTTGTGTAGGGGTGTGTTTGTGTGTGTGTGTATGTGTGTGTGTATGCACGTGTGTGTGTGTATATGAATGTGTATGTGTGTATGCATATGTATATGTGTGGTGTGTGTATACATTGTGTGTATGCATGTGTATGTGGTGTGTGTGTGTTTGTGTGTGCGTGTTATGGGTGGCAATCTTGTGAAAGGCCTTTTCAGTCTATTTTGTGATGGGTTTTATCAATCTGTAATGTTTGGAAATTTTGCACCTAAAATGTGATCATATATCTTCTGTTGAATTAAAAATAAAAGTTTAAAGGGCACCTGGGTGGCTCAGTTGGTTGAGTGTCTGACTCTTGATTTCTGCTCAGGTCACGGTCTCAGGGTCGTGGAATCCAGCCCCACATTGGGCTCTGCGTTGAGCATGGAGCCTGCTTGAGATTCTCTCTCTCTCTTTCTCTCTCTCCCTCTGCCCCTCTCCCCTGCTCATGCTCTCTCTCTCTCTCTAAAATAAAACAAAAAAAAAATTTTTTTTTAAGTTTAAGTAATAGATTATGGTAGAAGAGGGTGGCAGATCATATGAGTGGATGTACTGACATGAGATATTAATAAGTGAGAAAGGGAAATGTGGAACAATACATACAGTATAATTCCATTGAATTTTAGTTAAAATTTTTACTTCTATCCAAGTAATACATATAATTCCATTTTCATATTTAAAACAATTATGTGTGTATATGTATATTTGTATATACATAGGAAGAATGCCAGAAGGCGGCTGTCAATAGAGATTACCTCTGGGAAATGGGATCAGATAAAGGGCTAAAGTGGCAGTGTTAGCTTCTTTATTTTATATACTGTTCCTTGGAGGGAAAGTCGATGTCCTAGTGGAATCGGGGCAAACCCCAGACATCTACCAGGCTCGCGTCCTCTGAACTGAATATATGCTCACCTCTCAATTGTTGTAGATTAGCTTAGAAATAACCCAGCAGGGGCGCCTGGGTGGCGCAGTCGGTTGAGCGTCCGACTTCAGCCCGGGTCACGATCTCGCGATCCGTGGGTTCGAGCCCCGCGTCAGGCTCTGGGCTGATGGCTCAGAGCCTGGAGCCTGTTTCCGATTCTGTGTCTTCCTCTCTCTCTGCCCCTCCCCCGTTCATGCTCTGTCTCTCTCTGTCCCAAAAATAAATAAACGTTGAAAAAAAAATTAAAAAAAAAAAAAGAAAGAACCCAGCAGTTTTCCAGCTCGTCAAGATGGTCTAGTCAGAAGGAGAATGGGAGCCTTGTTTTCCTGGACTGGGACTTAGGAAGAGTGGAAGGTCTTAAATCACTGCCAGTTGTACTGTCTTGGCTTTATAAAAACTTATTATGAAGTATTCCACATTTGAAGAATTTTTTCATGCCTGAAGAATTTCATTACAAACATACCTGTCCTCACTACCCAATGTAAGAAATAAAATATTACCGATATAATTGAAGACCCTGTTTGTGCCTTTCCCCTCCCTGATTGTGTCTTTCTCCCCCTGCCCCATCACCAAAGTAACCACTAATCAGAATTTGCTATTTTTCATTTCCTCATTTCTGAAGATATAACTACATATGCACTTATCCCTAAGGGATATGTATTGGCGGTTTGCATATTTTGAGCTTTGTATAAGTAGTATTTTTTTGAGAGGCGGGGAGGGGCAGAGGGAGAGGGAGAGAGAGAATCTTAAGCAGGCTCTATGCCCAGCATGGAATCCCACTCAAGGCTCAACTGTGAGATCATGACCTGAGCTGAAATCAAGAGTTGGAAACTCAACCTGCTGAGCCACCCAGGTGCTCCAAGCTTTCTATAAAGAGTATGGAAGTGCATCTATTCCTCTGCAACTTACTTTTTTCCCCTAACACACTGATAAGATTCATTCACCTTGTTATGTGTAGGTCCATTAATTTCCCCTGCTTTGTAATAGGCCATCTTATGAATATACCACAATTTATTTATCCATTCTCCTGTTCAAGCTTTTTTTTTCTTTTCCAGTTTTCTGCTGTTACAAAGTGCTGGTATGACTTTCTTATACATGTTTTCTTGTGCAGGCTTGGGAGAGTTTTCGTAGGTGCAAACATGGGAATGGAATGGCTGAGTCATAGGTATAGGCATCTTCAATTTTACTAAAAATTGCCAAACTGTTTTTACAAAATGTTTGGGCCAATTTACATTCCCAACAGCGCCTGAGAGTTCCCTCGCTCCATATCCTTGCCAACCCTTGGCACGGTCAGATGGTTGGGTGTAAAATGGCACTTCATTTTGGTTTTACTTTGCTTTATCTGATTCCTAGTACGTTTGTGCATATTTTTGCTTTGCCTTTTTTTACTCCCTTGAGGGCTTGCAGGGTGCCTTGGGCTGGAGGGTAGTAAAGTATATGATTGAACCAATTTGGAATTGAGAGCTGTCAGTCTTTGATCTCCGCAGATAGGGCCTGCCTCACAGGGGTTAAAGTGGTCCACACCATCTTCCACAGGGCTAATCACAGAGAGGTCTTTCTCACCAAGCTAAGATCTGTCAGAGAGAGAGAGCTGACACAGCAACAGCTGCTTCCCAAGCATCCTCCTCACACACCAGTGGGCTGAAAATCAATAGCAGAGACAACAATTATTATTATAGCTAACATTTATAGTGAGCCAGGGGCAGTGTTAAGCTCTTTACATAAATAATCTCACTTTATCCATATGCCAGCCCTTCTAGGGGGGTTTCATTAACATCACCATTTTACTAATAAACTGAGGCTCTGAGAAGATAAGTGACTTACCTAAGGGCCCACAGCAAAAACTGTAAGTTGAACCCATGCCTCCCTGACGCCAAAGTTTGTGAATTTAATCACCACATAGTATCTCAAAAGCTTTGGGGGATCACTGTCCATCAATACATTTTTGAACACATAGTTCTAACACTCTTGAGTATTTATGTTACATATAATACAAGACATGCCCCAAATTCATGCTGTGTGCTAGGCCTTTACCATTTTCTCTGGGGAAGACAGTGTCCATGTTGCAGATGCGATAACTCAAGCCCAGAAAGGCTAAGTAATGTGCCCAAGATCACATACCATGGAAGTGCTGAGCAGGGATTTGAACTAAAAAATGAGAATATGGGTTTGGGTATAGGGAGCATGAAGAGAGTATTGGGAATAGGGAAGCTGGTGAGTGGGGGCAGCTTGAGGGGCATCCCCTTTTCCCCTTCTAAACTCAGGGTTGGGATGGGGAAGACAAGGCATGTGGTGGCTGGAACCAGAGCTTACACTGCATCTGGCCTAGGTGGGCAAGGGGCAGAAAATCAC